GAAAGATATTGTTTTTAAACTTGTTTCTTTTGTCGGTTCAAGATTTCTTAAAATATACTCACCTGTCTTTTTAGTTTTTTTTTTTTAACCAATAAGTAGAAGAATGCAAGAGCAGATACTGAAAACCATATAACATGAAAAAACAAAATTTCAAGAAAGTTAACAACAAAAGCTCAATTTCGGCTTCATAAAAAACGACCGCATAGAATATGAAACTACCAACTGAAAAAGGACCAATAGAACTCATGTTTCAATATACGAACAATAATATCTCATAATTTCAATCCTGTGCAGGGAACACAATGCCGAACGGAAAAAAAAAAAAAAAAATTCAAATAAAAAAACAAATAAAAAAAGACAGACAGAAAACAAAAAAAAACAAAAAAAAAACACAGAGAGATTGAAGAAATCTCAATAAATTTATGTCTAAACCAACCGTCAAAATTTGAGCATCATTGACGAATTGAAGAAATCCAAGATGCATACATAGACGGAAAAACGGAGAGAGAAAGAGAGAGGAGGGGAAGTGAGATAGAGATATAAAGATAGAAAGAGAGGAGAAGAGATATGAAAAATAGACTCAAAGAGGTAGACGCAAAAAAATAGAGAATCAGATTTAAAGGAAGAATAAGCAAGAGAGAGGGGCAACTAAATTTATGTGTTTTATTTCAAAATCCCTCAAATATCATTATCCATCATACCTGAATCCGAAGATTCGCACAGGTATCACACTCCACGTCACTATCACCCATCCTACTTCAACCACTAATTTTACTTATTTCAGTCTAAGACGATTCACTTCCTATTCAATAACAAATGCAAATTTCACTACACGTCCACATCATCGTTTCCACTTAGTCGCCTCCTCCTTTCTTCTATTGCCAATTCCTCCTGCTCACTAACAATGGTATCCTCATCGGCATAAAGTTGTGTTGTATTATCAGACGAAGGCCTAACAACCGTCAAATCAAGAACCTTTTTATAGTCCCCCCTCGCTACATGGGTAAGCCGACCACATGAAGGACATGGACGACTCAATGCTTCTATCAAGGCAAGGACCATTTCCTGCAATCTTGTCTCGTGTTTCATATTGATGCTCGCCAGAGCATTCAACTCCTTCTTGACATCCGTCATCTCCTTCATAAACCGCTTTGGCGAATGAGCATTAACGATATTCGCCAACAAACCTCTCAAAAAATACAATTGTTCTTTGTACCCTCTGACCATGCCAATCATGACTTCACTGCTACAACGATCCGGAACAATTTGTTCGGATATAGAATCCATTAACTCCTCATGCGTCTGTTTGTACAAATGTCCAAGCGCAACAACTGTTCCCTTTAACTGATTAGCACTCACCGAAAACTTCATTGCACTTTGCACCTCCAACAATGCATTCCTATGTACCAACTCCCTACCGACCATCCGTAATGATTTTAACATAGTAATTAAACGTGTTTTTGGAAGGTTTTCCAAAGTCGCAGTCGATGGAATCTCAAACAACTCTGAGGAAAAATAAGGTTCAACTGACGGCAAGGCACCCACAAACAAAAGGTTTCTGATCTCACCTTCCGCTCTTTCTAATCGCTCACGCAAATCGTCATGCTCTTGTAGAAGATGCGGGTCAACCCTAGTACTAAGCTCACAATTGTGTCTAACAAATCGTTTCTAATGGAAGATTGAATTAAAAGCTTAAGCTCTCTGTCCATTTGCTCAGCAGCATCCACCTCCGTCTTCCGATTGCCATCACTGCACACAGATCTGTCCATTTGCTCACCAGCATCTTCCTCCCTCTTTGCCTCTTCATTTCATTTTGTTTCGATGAAACTTTCCACCACTGCCTGTGCATTCAACTCAACTTTCTTAAATGCATTTCTCAATGCAATCACTTCCTCCTCCTTCTTTTTCAACATTCCGAGCAACTCATCTTGACTCCATCGAAGACCCTCATTGTGTGTCAGGTACCGACCACACATCGTCCTCAACGCAAAGTCACTCGGGAGCTTACCTTTTACA